TGACCCCTGACCACCAGGAGCCACAGCTTAGTCTGAAACCAGAGTGTGAGTGAAGGAAGTCCAGCACCTGTGGGAAATCAGAGGAGGGGTACCTGCCCACACAGGGTGGCAGGGGCAGGTGTCATCAGGATAAAGTCCAGCTTCTTAGTGGGGCCTCTGAGGCCCTCCCCCAACTTAGCATGAGCCGCTCGTCGCCCCAGCTGTAGTCATACTGAACTTTTAGTGCTGCTGCTGCCTCCTCCTCCTCTTCTTCTTTTTTTTTTAAATTTTATTGGGGAACAGCCATGGTCATTGGTTATACATTGCTTTCATGCTACAATGGCATCATTGACTCTTTTTAGGGAGGGTGCAGCTCACAGTGGCCCATGTGGGGATCGAACTAGCAACCTTGGTGTTAGTATCAGCACCACGCTCTAACCAACTGAGCTAACTGGTCTCCCCTTCTTGTGCTCCTTGGAATACATCACATTTCTTCACTGCTAAGCTTTTCTCCTTGGCGACCCTTCAGCTCCAAACTCCAATTCTGTTCCACCTCTGTTTCTCACTCATCCTCTAATCTTCACCTTTTGCCTCCCCCAAGCAGCCTGCCCTGATTTCTGCAGGTGCTCTTGTAGTGCCTTGCCCCGTAGTGAACACATAAGGACCCTGGTCATAATACCTTGATTCCTCCTTTCTCTTCCCCTGCAAACTGTCTCTGGCTAGCTCACAGCTGTGTAGCTCCAGCACCTGGGACTTAATCATTTAACAAATATTTATCGAGCCCTTACTGTGTGCCAGGCACTGTGCCAGGAGAGAGCTGAGAACGAGACAGACTCACAGAGCTTGCAGTCTAATGGATAGGGGAGAGCAAAGTAGTAAATGATATATTAATAATTTCCGGAGATTCCAATAAGGAAACAAAATAAGGCAATGGGATGAAAAGGAGTGGGAGGGAAGTGGCTACTTTAGATGAGTGGTTAGGGAGGGCCTCTCTGAGGAGGTGACATCTGAGCTAAGCCTTGAACAGGGAGAAGAAGGCCATGTGAGGGTCTGGGAAGGAATATTCCAGGCAAGGGGGCAGCAGGGGGCCTGTGTGCTTCAGAGGGTGAGGGGGAAAGGGGGAGGTGAGGACAGAGCGGGCCGCAGGGGCTGGAGCTTGATTAGGTTGCTGGGCTCCCAAGATTTTTAGCTGTGACTCATGGTGAGAAATACATTTCCCATCGCAACCTAAGTTCATGCACATGTATGTAACTGAAAGAAGTTTCAGGAAACGATTCTTCCCCTTAACAACATGCGGTGCACGCAGATACTTTCCATTCTGCTCCATTTTTTAAATTTGCTGGTTGCAATCCACCACTTTATTTCAGGGTCCGTTAATGGATGATGACCTGAAGTTTGGTTAATGCTGTTTTAGACCACTGTAAGGAACTTGGGTTTTATTTTTAAAATTATCATACAATAAAATGGACTTTTTTTGGTATGCAGTACTCTGAATTTGGGGGTCTCCTTTTACTCACTGGGTACAGAGTAGGTGCTCGGTGAATATTTGTTGAAGTAATGAAGGAGTGGACTGGCAGGGTGGGACAGGTAGGTTTCTTTTGGTGAAAGGGAGTGAGGCAGGGTTCTGAGCCACAGCTGCCCGCCTGGGCAGGGCTGGGCACAGGTTCCTTGTCCACAGGGAGCCAGCCCATTTCCCTGCACCTTCAGGCCAGCACTGTGTGGTTCCTTTCTTTTCCTTCCCTTCAGCCCCCTGACTCTGGTGGGAAGGAAGCTGTCTGTCCTGCCACATGATGGTCACTGTTAATTCTGAGTGCACTATTGCCATATTGTTCATGCTGCTCTGTGCAGTAGCAGTCGCTTTGCAGAGGCCCAGCAGTGAGGTTAAGAAGCTTGGGCTCAGCACTTAGCTTGGAAGTGGAGTTGTCCCCTGGCCTGTGTGAAGCAGGAGCCGGCTCTGGTCCCACTGTGTTGAGACCAAAGGTGGTGGCTGTAGAGCTCACATCTTAGGCCAGGTTGGGGCCTTCTGGGACTCCAGGGTCTCCACTCGCCTCGGAGTCTCATTCCTGTCTTTTGGCAGCTGGTGTCTCATCAGCCAGAAAGGGCCTGGCATCTTCCTCCCCACCATCCGAAGCATCTACTCCAGTGGAACCAGGAGATAGGGCTCAGGTACGCAGACATGTGGTGTGGGTGGGNAAAAAAAAAAATCAGTTCCCAGCCGGGCCACTCACTGTCTGTGGAGTTTTCTTGTCCTCCCATGTCTTCGGGTACTCGGTTTCCTCCCACATCCCAAAGACGTGTGTGCACGTGAAGGTGATTGGCATGTCTGCATTGTCCCAGTCTGAGTGCGTGTGAGTGGCCCTGCGATGGAAGGGTGTCCTGTCTTTACACCCTGATCTTCGGGGAGAGGCCACCCGTGACCCTCAACTGGAATAAGAAGGTTGGAAAATAATTTTCTTGTTTTTATTAATTTTTTTATCTTAAATGTATGTGTAGCTCACATTTATTTCACTGTTCAATATTAGAAGTGTTTGGGGTCCTCATGTAGAAGTTTGGTGATGTTTTTGTGACCAGAAATATGCCGTAGGAACTTAACTCTTGTTCTGTCAGTTAGCCTACAGTAAAAAATGGTTTCGTTATACGTCATTTCGCTTAAAGAGTGTTTCCAAGAACCTATCAACAACGTTAAGTGCGGACTTACAGTATGAATAAGTGATGAAGTGTGCCTTAAATCCTTTCTAGAACATAGAGGCGTAGAATGAATAGATAATGAATGGATGCCCTGTCTGGTACAGTCTTTTAGCAAATGAAAAGCATAGCTATGCTATCACTGGCTCTTCCTCTCAGTGGCCTTTCCTCTCCACCCCGAGCCTGCCCTGCAGATTGGAGCTGCACTGAAGTGTGCTATGGCTGGGGGTCAGGAGCTGGCCTCCGGTGTGGAGAAAGGCATCAGAAAGAGGCCAAGAGGGAGGCAGTTTGAAGGTTCAAAGCCTGACCGTCAATTTCCTGATGTTTTCCAGAAGGAGGGGGTATGGGAAGCAGCAAATCATCTTGGTTCCTGTGGCTCTACGTTTCTGTCAAGCCTGCAGCTGAAAAATCCCAGCTTTTCCTTCTTTCTGGCTCCACCCTGTCCCTATTTAGCCACTTGATCAAGGTCAAGGTGCCTCCCTTCTGCCCTCACCCCACCTCCATATCTTTCCCTGGGGCCAGTGGATATGGGAGAGTGGGTTTCACTCTTTGGTCACAGTTGGGAAGTGGCCGGGAGCTTAGGTTCAACCTGATGCTGCCCCCTTAGAAGCTGGGGGATTTCAGACATGTCGCTTAACTTCTCTGAGCCTCTGCTTCCTTATCAGTCAAATGGAGAGAAGAATTCTCCCCCACGTGCCTGGTTCTTCTAAGTCTCAGCATATAAATCTGTAGTGTCATACAAGTGCTTGGTGTTACTCATATCCGTCCCAGTTGCATTGTATTGTGTCACCTGGAGATGAGGTGTGCCTTCTCTAACCTTTGTCCTATTTAGAGGAAAAAGCAACTCGCTCTCAGAGCTTTAACAGATAAGTCTCACTTCCTGTTTTAGACAGGAAGAGCTGCTTTGCTCACTGTTCCGTGTGGACAGTCAGGTAAGTGGGACACAAACAGTCCTTTTCTGGCATCTGACAGCCTTGTCAGGTGGTCTGATCTTCTGGTTAACTGAAATCTCTCCAGCCTGACAGCCCCTTCCTTGTCACTTAGTCCTCAGGCGGGAGGCGCCCTTCCTATGTCTGGAAGGCTCAGAAACCATTTCCCACTCTGCCTGCTTTTGACTTGCAGAGCTGGCCAGGTTGATACTGAGTAGTAGTTGGGAGGGCTCTAGCCCTCATGATCTCCACCATAACCAGCCACCCCTAAAGAATCAAAGCATAAATAGACCCAACCCTAAATCAGGCCCTCCAGTGTCCCTCCCTCTCCTGTGGAGCAGCAGGAACCCAACTACTAGGGCTTTGACTGTACTATATCAGCACCAACCCTGCAGCCTGCTGGGAGAGTTCCAGCACCCAGCATGTTTACTGCAGTTGCAAGTGAGATGGGAGCATTATGGGCAGGGCCTCTGGGGGCTGTAGAGCTGGGGCTCCTGGGAGGTTCTCCCTCACCAAACTCACAGGTATATAACCATGAATGAATTTACAGTGCAAACTAGGTGTGCGGTGGTGAACTGGACACAATGCCTGCCTCAATACACCAGTGACACGTTTGTGGTGAAAGTTCTTTGTGAAGTCAGAAAGGCAGAGTTCTGACTACCTTTTGACAGCTGTGGCTTCAGGCAGGCTTGAACCTCTCAGAGCCTTCTCCTCAGTAAATGGGGATAATGTGATAGTCCCTAGCTCATCGACTTGGGAGGAATCAAAGAGGTGAGGATATTAACAAAAACAACACACAGTGTCTGCTATGTGGTTAGTGCTCATGAAGGTGGGCTATCAGTATTACTAAGGATCTCATAGTCCAGTGGGGAGAGATACTTATGCACAAATGAGTGCCACAAAATGTGGGCAACTGCAAATGCCACCTCCTCCATGCAGCCCTCAGTCCTCAGGCAGGAAATGAGAGGCTCCTTCTGGGAGCCCTGTTGGACTTTGCTTATCTCTCCATCACATCCCTTATCTTCTCTTTCTGTGACTGTTTTTGCAGTTGTTTACATACCTGTCTTCCATGCTGGTCTGCCAGTCCTTCCAGGGTAGGCATGTGGAAATTCCTCTCAGATCAGCAAGGATATCCCCTCTGGGTGCCATCTAATTCTAAGGGTGGGATTCTGTGAGAAGACCTGGGCTTGGGGCTTCTGTCTGGGCCTATTTGGGAAGGCTTTAGGGAGGAGGTGATGGCTGAGCTGGGCCTCGGCCTGTGTAGGATTTGGAATTGCAGCAATAGGCATTTCAGGGGCAGTCAAAGGGGCTAGGGACACTGTGGCAGGCTGAGGCCTCACCAAGCAGCCTGTATCACAGAGTGAGGGTCAGGGGGGTGGGCTTCAGTCTCAGCTCCCCCTCTAAGTGCCTCGACCGCCCTGGGCAAACGCACCTCTTCCCTGGGCTCTGGTCTCCCCTCTCAGGCAGCACATGGCCCTCTGTTCTGGAGGGGTTTGTGGGAGGGGAGGGTAAGGATGAGGCCCACCTGCCCAGTCCTGGATAGATTTTCCAGAACACGTCTGTATGTATATGTGGGCAGCAGCATGGACTATGGAGAAAGGCTTGAGATAGCCAAACTGTCCTCAGACATAGCTGGGATTCCAGGGGACCCAGGCCACATCTAGGCAGGCTGGCTCAGGAGTCCTGGCGGCCTCACGGCATGCCTCTGGCCCAGTGAGGACAGGAAAGCTGCAAAGCAGCTGCCACTCCTGCCACCAGGGCCTCCCACATGCCTCCTGCTGTCCCCCACCCCCTGTTCCAGAGGTCCCACAATGCTCCTATTGTCCACAACTCTGCCAGGCTGCCCCCCAGGGAGCAGCTCAGAGCCCAGGACTTGGGCATGGCCCTGAATCCTGTGGCACAGCTGGGTATAAAGCACGGTGGTCAGACTCATATGGAACTTGGAGAATCCTAGTATCTGGTAGTCAGGGAAGCTTAGAAAAATGAAATCCTGGAATTAGAAGACTGCAGGTGCTGAGGCTCCAGGCTGTCTGGACTGGAGGGATGGCCCAGTTCCAAAGTCCCCCTCCCTCATCTTTTATTCTTTTCATATAAAGTTCTACTTGCTCCACTTACCCAGATTTCTCATCTTGCAGTGATCTGCCCGTGGCCCTGGTGCTGTGTCGGCAAATTTCCTCTTGTTCATTTGGGACTGGTTTTGTTTTAAAACTAGACTAGAGCCTGATTTGCTTCTAGCAATGTGAAACTGCAAACAATGTGTGTTGGTATGAGAAGGTTACAATGACTTTGTTTTTTTCCAAGTGACTGGTGAATACTGTGACCAGAGCAAGAGTTTAAAAATTAATTAGCAACAAATGCTTTGTGATTCCACTTATATGTAGTACTTGTAAAAAATGAGTCTGCCGCACCCCCCAATCTCCCACCCAAAGTTCACCACTGACAGCATTTGGGCAGGTACCCTTTCTTCCTGACATGAACAGCTGTGTGTTTTTCTGTTGTCCAGCTGTGCTGAAACTGAATCACCCAGTGCCCAGTGTTTTGCTGTGAGCGAACAATGAACATCTTTGTATGTACATTGGGGCTGTGGGATAGTATTTCTGGAGGACAGAACCCTAGAAACCTGACTGCTGCCTCGCAGGGTGGGCAAACCCCCGCCTTTTACAGTTGTTGACATTAAACCTTAGACAGGTGACATCCTTGTCCAGGGTCTTCCAGCAAATATGGTATAGAGAGTAGGTGGTGCGGGAAATGGGGCCAGCCAGGTATCGCCTTCCACCCCCGGAAACACACATGCACACATGGACCTCTGGCTCTGAGAGGGAAGCAGCACATCGGCCTCTGAAAAGGTGCAGACTCAGGTGGACTCAATGGCCAGAGGTTACCAAGGCAAGGATGAAATTCGTTTTCCCCACAACCTCTCCAGGTCTCTTCCATGGCGGTTCCTAGCCCTTTTTACCTTTCTGAAACTTATCTTGAGACTTCTGTGTGAAAGTATAAACTGTAGGTCCTGGCTATCCATTCACTCATCCATCCCAGTGCTCATTCTGTATTAACTTCTCTCCCCCGCACGGGCTCTGTTTTTTTTTCATCTTGCCTTGGCACCTCCCTCCTTCACAGCCCTCCTAACAAAGCAGGTTGGCAGAAAGAATGGTAGATGGAAAGCATGGCACCCTGACCCCAACCAGTCAGGGGCCGCCTCGGGATGCCTGCTGCTCCTTGGGCTTCTTTGTTCCTTGCCCCTTATCGTGCTGGACAGAGTAGTGAGGCGTCTGTCTCGCTCACCAGGATCCTGGCCACTACTGGGACACCTGTGGCTGTTACCTGGAATCAGTTAGAAAGGATTCAAGCTCTGTCTGCAGTGGCATCTCTCCCTGGCTTGCATTCAGCTGGCTCTCTTGGGAGATGGGTATCATTCAGCTCAAGTGTCCCCACCTTAAGAGGCCTTCCCTGGCCGCCCTGTCTGTTCCATGGTCTCTCTCAGCATCTCGCTTTTATTTCTTTCTAAGGACCTCTCACCATCTTCATTGCTTTATTTGTTCCTTGCCCACCTTC